CCAGAGCTTTAAAATAAATTGCTCATTAGTTTAAAATAAATTGCTCGAAATATATGTGTGAACAGAAGCAACAACACTATACTTCAAATTTTAATTTTCTATAATTTACTCTATAAATATTTTATAGAAATTTGAAAAATGTTATCAAAAGACTTACGAGATTATTGGTCCAAAAACCCTTTCTTAGAAGATGCAGAAGCTCTTTCCCTTTTCTGTAAGAGTTTCTGAGCCATGGATTTAATTTATTGTTTTCGAATATAAGATTTTTGAAAAAATTTTTGTTTTAAATTTGAGCTCTTCACGATTTCGTCAATATTTCGTTACAATTCAATTATTGAGCCTCGTTGCTCAAGAATAGTTCGGGAACTAAAATTTTTCAAAAATCTCGCAAATTAATTATTGATCAAACCGAGTTCATAATTCGAAAAAAAAATTTACTTTTGAGACCCATCATTAGAAATCCTTGTTTATATAGCTCATTTAGAAAAAGCAGTCTTGCTTTCGGTCTCTTGTTGCACTTGAATTGAATTTCTTATCTTTGAGGGATCTTTTCTCAGGGGTACAAATCATATATATTTCTTTATTTATACATTATTATTGTACTATAGTATATAAAATTATACCCTATAAATATTCACTACCTACCTACATAAATATGTATGGTATTTTGTACGTTGTAATATTAAAGTGAAATGGTTAAGAATGTCGTTATTAAGGATATTATTTCAAGTTTATATGTCTGTATATACGTATAATATGTATGTATGTAGTTATAATATGAAATACAAATAATATACGGTTGATTCATCACGTATTTTGTTTTTTTTTTCTGCTCTCTGTGTAGATTTGTACACGAGTTTTTCTTCTCCTGTTTTTCATTTTTAAGCTGATAAATGAACCGGAATGACTTTTCTGATAAGAAAAAAGAACAAGAAAAACGGCAAAAAGAAAAATTTTTTCACTAGGATTTTCTTAATATTTTTCTTTTTTTTCGTTTCTTATTTAATTTTTGGGAAGCAGGCAGGGACATGAAGGCTGATTTAATTTTCCTTTCCTTGTAAGTAAAATGTTTACTTAATTGATAGAAGAATTGAGAGTTTTGTTGTTATTAATTTTTTTTTTGTTTTGTATAAAAGAGGAAAAGGTTATAATAATATTATGTTTTCTGTTATATTCATTACATGTACACAAAAAAAAGGATATTAATATTTTTACAATAGGTATAAAGAAATTTCTGTGTAGGATGGAAAAATTATGGAGAAGATGTGAATGTTTTTTAGCTCATATGCGTTGCAGTTTTTGTTATACGAGAAATCTTAATTCTCTTTTAAATTTTTCACCAAATATTTCAAAACTATTTTCTTGCTCTCTTTTCTGAAATATTTTTTAAAGCATCTGTAGCGTTCATTAGACGCTTTTATTTAAGTATAGTCATTTTCATTTATTGCTAGGTTCAAATTAGCTAAATACTTAATAATCTTATACCAGAGAAAATTTGAAATCTCAACTTGGCCAATTAGATTGTGAAAATGCTGAATCTATTACGAAATAGAGCTTACAAGCATGCTTGTGTTTATTACAGTCCGAGCATCACAACTTTCTCAATTTAATTTTATGGAATTGCAACAAAATTTTCATAATTTTTTTTTGATTTTTTAAAATTATTCAGCTATAAAGCTAAAAAATTACAGGTTTAAAACCAATTTCGTTCATTATATAATCCTCATTCCATTCAGTATATTGAATTCCATTCTTCCAAAAGATTTCATCAAACAGAAAATTATTAAAATGTAATAAAATTTTCATTAGGTACTGAAGAACCTTAATTTGAAAGCAGATTTAAAACCAGTCTATCGAATTTTTTATCATTTAAAAAAAAAAGGGACACATAAGTGACTACACCAAAAAATTTATTTCTAAATTTTACTATCGCCTCTTCCATCATTAAAATATTTTTAAAGTGTATGAATTTTCTAATACAAGAACAATAATCAAATCTATTAAAAATAATTAAAAGTACTGGATATGCACAATATCGAAATTTTCAATTGTGCTCTTAAAAAACCTTTAAAATTATCATTAACCCAGAAAAAAAAAAAAAAAAACAATTTTTTTTCCCTTAAATTTTATTTGAAAATTTTTATTTTAATCACCTTAAACAAATCGTAAAAAAAAAGAAAATTTAACAACTTTTTTTTTTTTTGTAATTTAGTAGTTAAATTTGACAGGATATAAAGAGAAACGTGACAAGATTAACAAAATAAAGTTCGGAAAATTTACAGAAAAAAAAAGAAATTAAAATAAAAACTGAAATGAAGAGAAAATTTTCACTTGAATATTTTGGGATAAAATGGAAACAAAAAAAAGATGAGACGAACGGTTTTTTCTTTTATTTTAATTATTTTTAAAAACTTATTCGTTCTTATGTAGAGTGGCACTCTATCTACTCGTACAGAGAGTGTACGTAATAGTAATTACAAACAAAGAGCAATAAAGTGACAATAAACCTTGCTTTTATTAGGGTATAATATTACAGGTTAAGGTTAATAAAATATTTTCAATTTTAAATTGAATTTTTATTGTACGTTTAATCGATAAGAAGCTGAAAAAATTTTAGTATATGCACGTGAATTGTTTTTTAAATTAAATATGAAAATTCGTTCCAGACACTTAAGAAATGAACAAGAAAACAAAAAGAAATTATAATTTAAATTATTGTAAAATTTGTAGGTGTAGCAGAAGGATTTAAAGTGAAATTCACAATTATTTTTTGAAGAGAGTGCCGTTCAATGGGGTTGTGGAGATGTTTAAGTGTCACTTTAGAGTGGATGTAGTGCCATTGTAGTGTGAGTTAAGTGCTGCTGAAGTGCTTATTAATTGCCGTTGTAGTGTGTTTGCAGAGCTTTTTTAGTACCGTCGTAGAGACCTTGCAGTGTCATTGTTAATTGCCGCTGAAGTCCGACTGTAATGCCGTTACTGAGTTGATCTAAACCAGTTAACATAGGACAAAGACTATTTGGAATTAAGTGACCTAAATTGACAACTGTAATTGTTCAGTTGTTTGATATTTTGTACATTTTTTTTAATGGTTACCAGAATATAGTTATTTAACCAGGGCTATTCTTCTACACTCTTTAATTTTGCTTAAATTAAAATTCATCATAAAAATTCGTAATAGTAACTTCTTTTTTTTTTTCTAGACAGTCATAAATAAAATAATTCAAAATTAGTAAAAGTACAATTATAATGCAAAATTCATATTAACAAAGCAACATTGAAAACACCCTAAGCATAAAATTCCCATTAAAATTTCTTATTTTCCTTCACAAATACATAAAAAACTAAAATCCATATGCAAAAGTCAGTAATATGCATATTTTCTAAAATTTCAGAATATTATATGTAAACTCTTGTTCTGGTAATTACCCTAAAATAAAACATTATCAAAAATTATTTCAGTTTAATCTATAAGACTATAAAGTAATTTCATCTTATATTATACAAGGGTAATAATTTCTAGAAATTTGCATAATATTAACAAAATAAGTATTTACAGAAAATAACAAGTAACTACATATTATTATATAATTTTGTTAATGCTATAATTGTATAATTCGATAAAATTTGAATATTCTTTATAGCGTGATCATGATTTTATAAATTGCATTAAAATAGGTGTGTATACGTACTCGTAGTTTATGATAGTATAGAGAATATTAAGTGTTTACCTAATTTAAATGAAAATTCTACTAAAATTCTACTTGTATAACTTATTATTTTACAACCTATATTTTTACATGCAATATTTTTTGAATGTCAAACTAATAATTACTGTATATTTGAATAGTGCACTGAAGTACAATTAAATGTTGGAAGGATAATAAAGTTTTTATTTTCATAAAAAAATTTTGTATGAGGCGATGTTCAATGCTTCTATATCAAGCGAAATTTTGTATAACAAATTTTAAATTTTTCCAAACAAATGAAATTTTAGAAAACTTACTATAAAAATATACATAAAAGCTAAATACTATATAATTTTAAAAAAATTTCACAAAGAATTTACAAAAATTTTAGTTTAACAGAAAAAGGCCCTGGACGCCATAAACTAAATTATAATACGACGACACTTAATGAAGAAAATTCGAAAAAATTCCAACTTTTGAACTTTTAGGGATAAGAGTAGCTGTTTCTGAACAAATTCAAAGATCTGTAATTTTCAAAAAATTTTACAAACTTTTTTTGTAGGGCTTTGAAAAATTTATTATAGGGAGCACCTTTGGATGTCGTCTTACAAGCCTAGAGAAGTGTACCGAATAGGAGTTTGGAAAAAATTTATGAGGCAGACTGTTACGAAATATCATTCAAAAGGTCTCGGTGAGTCCTAAAGTTTTTGTTTGGTGAGTCAGACTTCGAAATAGGTTGCTGGGAAGACTTGAAAAGAAGTTATGAAATATTCTTATGTGCTGAAAGGCTAAAACGACTTCTCGAATGAAGTTTTCCATAATTTATTTTGGGTTAAATTTAAATACAAGTCTTCCATAAGTAAGGCTCGGATAATATTTTTAATGTGGAACGTCTATTTGGTATAATTTTGAATTGACAAAACATATAATTTGTTGTTTTTTTTTAATAATAAGCTAGTGCTCGTTTGAACTACCAAAGACAAGAAATCTTTTTGCCCGACAAATGCTCATTTATTTCGTCAGTTGAATTTCGATTGTTTGAGAGGATTATGGATCAAATTTCGGATTCTGTTCCAATACTTTTTCAGTTTTTCAAAATTTATTGCTCAATTTTAAGTCATTTCAATTATGTTTTTCATATTCTTTAATAAGGTCATAGTCATCTATATAAAGTGCTTAAAAATTCTTAAGTTTTTTGATAAAAATATTATTTAGTCTAAAAATTGGTAAAATATTTAAGTATATAAAAATTACATCTTATATAATAAATATAATTTGGAAAGATTAAAAAATATTTTTTTTCAAATTGCTTACCTATTGGAGTACAAATGCTTCTCTTTACATATTGGAATTGAATCGTCACATAAATTTATTTTTAATCATTAAATTGGTTTTTTTGTAAATTATTATTTTTTATAATATTTTAAATTTTTTCTTAATATTTTTTTTTCTCAATTCTAGTTTTAAATTTTTTTATTATAAAAAAAAAACCCCAAATAATTTTCAATAAAAATTTATTTTAATATTTTCTTGCTTTAACAAATAATTTTTAATAAATAATAATTTTAATATTTCTTATTATATTTTCAATTTAATTTCCAAATTCTTTTATTAAAATTCTAAAATCTAATCTGATCAAATTTTGTAATAATTTTCGAATTTTCCAAAAAGAAAAAAATTAAATTTTAAATAATTTTTTTATTCTTCTTTTAATTTTTAAAATGTTAAAAAAAAAACTCATTATAAAATATTTTCCATTAATATTTTTTTTAATAAAAAAATTTATTGTTTTTTATTTTATTAAAGTTAAAAGTTATACACACCCACTTTTAATTCACTCGGTCAACTACAAATAATTTTTACCCTACTAAAATTTATTTTTCTGTCTCCAACTATTTTATTACTGTTATTTTTTTCGTTATCGTCGTTTTCTTCCATTTTTTTTTGTACAATATTTTCATTATAACTGTTAATAGTTTCATTTTGCTTTTCCCTTAAATTTTAAACATTAAATAATTTAAAATAAACAAAGTAATCAAGAAGAAGCAAAAAATAAAGAAACAGCAAAAAAAAATTAAAGAGAAAAGAGAAAAAAAATTAAAAACTTGTTATTTGTAATCAACTACAAATAACCAAAACCAAATGTACATGAAAGATTAACTCGTTTACTTCGCAATCATAAACGAAACAGCAAAAATCAGAAAAGAACGAAGAGAAAAAATTCAAATAAAAAACTATAAAAAAAAAAACTTTAACCGTTCAAGTAAAACTGTGATTTTTCTTCTGTTTTTTCTTATTTTTTCTCTTTCTATATATTTTTTTACTATTCTAACAGTATTTTTAGAATACAGAAATATTTTTTAAATTAACTGGAATTTTTTTTTCCTGTTTTTTTTTTTTAGTTCGGTTAACGAGTTTACGAGTTTTGAAATTACTAGAGAAAAATTCAGTTATTTTTTAAAAAATTTATCGTTTTTTTTTTTCTTTTTTTTTATTAATTTTTTTTTTGTAATTTTTTTTTTTCATATCCACTTTTTTTTTTAGATTTACCTTTTCTTTGTTTTTTTTTTTCCTATTAATTTTTCATAACGCACTTGCTCCCTTTTTTGCAGCTAGTTTTCGACTAACGGTATTTCAATGCTTGTTTTTTATCGACTACTTTTTTTGCTTTTTTCTCTTGCTTTTTTTTGTGTATAATGAAAAACAACAACAACAACAAGAATATATCATTTCAAAAAAAAAAAAAAAAAGAACGGAACAGAGCTGTGTTTTTTTTTCTCCAAAAATAAACAAAAAAAATCAAAAAAAAAAAAATTTTTTTTTGTCGCCGTTTTTCCTTTTTATTTCGTCACTGAGTGCAAAGAATATAAATGTTACTAACAAAAATTGTAAAGAAAACAAATGAATAAATAATAATAACAGTAAAAAAATAAAAAAAGAAAAATTAAATAATTTTTTCCTGAGAACTTAAAATTTGGAAGAGCAAAGACGGCGGCGTTGGCGACAATAGCCCTTAGCCAGTCAGTCTGCGGCAACGTTATTATCTAAACTATTTTTAGAGATGATAAAAAATTTCCGAAAAACCTATGCAACGAATGTCGGTCTGGGACTGAAAAAACATAAAAACAGAAGAAGAAGAAAAAAAAATAGAAAATAAAAGCCCTGAAAATATTGTGCTTTACCACCCAATACTCTAAAATACACACATAAAGCACAATTCTATACACATATAATTTATGCATACATACATACAAACATACAATTTTACATTAATATTTTATATTTTTTTTTCTGTTGTTTTTTTTTTATTTTCTGCTCCACATTTTTGCTTACTCAATGTATATACACATACATATTCATTATAACAAAATAAGAGACTAACTTTTAAAAAATAGCAAAAGCAAAAAAAATACAAAACGAAAAAAAAATTGTAACAAGAAAATTATGTATCTCACGAACGGGTGGTATTAAACGAAAAGCAACAACAACAACAAGAGAAAATAAAACAGAACACATTTTTATCTCACAAAATTGTTACGAGCATAAAATTTTACCTACACACCATACACACACACACAAATTTTTGTTCAAATAAATGATGGGAAAAAAAAGGCACAATCCTTGGATGATATTTTCTCTCTATTGAAATACATAAAAATGAAAATAATATGCAAAAAGAACAGAAAAAGGAAGAAAAGACAATATTTTTAGATACGATTTTAAATATGGATAAATTTATGTAGGTTAGCATGCATAAAAGCTTTTCAAAATTTGTGTTACACTAGACGAAGTTTTTTATGTTTTTTTTATTTCTTATTCATTTATTTAAAATAACTTTGAATTTCACCCTTACATGCGCTCTAATTTTTCTATGCTCATATACATTCATACATACACAAAACACAACACAACACACAACATATACATATTGGGGCTCAAACTTTCTTCAACATAAAACATAAACGCTTTTTTTCTATGTGTATATTTTAAAAAAAATCTTCTATCGTATTATTTTATTATTAAAATATTATTTTTATTATAAACTATGTTTTGGAGAGAAGAAACATGAGAGAGAAAAATTTTTGAGCAAAAATTTGAGAACATTTTCAGCGCAAAAGAAAATGAGAATGAGAATGAAAATAATAATTTAAGGACTCTCTGTGAGAGAAATCAAGACTTGGATATTATTTGTCAATCCTTCTCTATTCTTGCAATTATTAATATTGATATTAAGATTGTGTTAAGATTACTAAGGCTAAATTAAAAGTTGATTTTGTTTGATTGAGACCGTTTTATTGGCTCACATTTTTATAATAATAAAGAGTGCACATTATGTTTTGAAATCTCAATTTTTGAATGACACGGAATGTCATAAATCTCACGAATTTTTTAATATTTTAATGATAAAATAAATTCTGGAGTCTTGGTGCCCTTCGAAATTTGTGCAGGCGACTCTTTTAGGACTACCTTACGAACTTTAAATAAAATCATACACTTGGTTGTAGATGACTCACGTAATGTTTATGGCTTGATATTTCTGTTAAGTCAAAATCCAAATAAATGACACGGATTAAAAAAATAACAGAATACTAAAATGTGAAAAGCTTTTGTAAGGTGCAATAATATATTTTATATTATGTATGTTAGTATATATAATTTCGGAATATCAGTATATATTTTTGCGAAAAGTAAAATGAAATAAGTTGTGATTTTTTTATAATGAAAATTATTTGATTTTTTTTTTTTTTGCTTTAAATTTTCCAACAATTGAGTGAGAAGAGCTTTTTTAGAGAAATTTATAATTTATGTTCGGAATTCAGATACGCTATCCTTATGAAAATTAAGTCGAGAGAGTCTAACGGAATAAAGCGTAGGAGAGAAAGAATTTTTATTTTTCTAATAAATTAAAATATTAAGCAGTTATTATGAATATTCACTCATTTTTTTGTATTAAAAATTCACTAATTTTTTTTCTATTAAAAATTCACTCATTTTTTTTTTGTGTTAAGAGAGAGTATGGTGAATATTATTTTTGATTACTTTGTGTAGAATATAAATGAGTGAATATATTTCGATGTATACGTATATTTTTATCAAAAATACAAAAAATAAGAAAAAAATTGAAGTTTTAATATTGGAGTTTTCGAGTTTAGCTCACATAGAGCGAGGCTCATTATAGAACGAGTTGATATTATTAACGGTTAAATCAAATAGTTACATGACATTAAAGTAAATAACTCTAAAAAAATGTTTTATTTTTATATTATATTTAAGGAAAAAAATTGTTATAAAAAATGACATACACACATGTTGGGTATGCTCATGATTTCAAAAGGTATACAATATAACAATATAAAAATTAAGCAATGAGCAACAAAATATTTTAAAAATAGTTTTTGATATTGTTTACAAATGATTAAAAATAGTTGAGATTATCAAGTTTAGGATATTTTTTTTACTCCATTCTAAGTATGTTCTCCTTAAACTCCTTGATGCGATTTAATGATATTGATAACTTTATTGAAAGAAACATGATAAAATAACGACATCATCATGTGGTGATGATAATAATGATGATAATTGATGACGATGATGACGACGATGATGATAATAATTGATGATGATGATAACGATGACGGTAGTATGGTGATTTTAAATAAAAAAAATTTTTTAATGTAAAAAGTGGGTTCCAATAAAATTAAGACAAAAAATTTACACCTAGACATTACGTCGTCGTTGTCTCAATCAATAATAATAGAAGAGAAGAAGTAAAGAAAAAAAAAATGAGTAAAATACAGGACATCAATATAACAAAGCATATGATGTAGAAATAGTTCCTAAAATAAAAAAAAAAACGAAAGAATAGAAGAGAAAAAAAATTTTATAGTAGGGACCACAAAAAAAAACAGGACCAGAAATTCAATTGGAAAATATTTTCCTATAAATTAAGATATAATAATAATGTTCCATATGTATGTGTGCATATAAAAGTAAGAGGTTGATAATTTGAAGGCGGCACATTATTACAATATCAACTACAACATGTAAGACATAACAACATAAAAATACTCCGAGAAGCTTATAGACTTTCTTGTATAATAACAAAAAATAGTTATTTCGGATGAAGAAATATTGAAATTAATTTTAACTTAAGCTATATATTTTTCACATATACACCCATACTATACATATAATTTGTAATATATACGAGTATATTCATGTTATAGAGGAAAAACAGAAGAAACAGAAGGAACAGAAGGGAAGGAAATTCTATCTAGCTATTTTGAATATTTTATGCTTAAGAGAAGAAGACATTTTTTGGCAAGGTTTTTATATAAAAATTAATTTTTAATGTGAACTCTAATAAATATTCTGTTCTCTTGTTTTTTTTTCTAAAAAAAATTTTATATAACATTTTGAGAATCCATATAACAACGTCTGCGGTGATTTAATATGGAGAAA